AGCCCCAAACAAGTTCACTAGGTCCCAGAACGGGCTTTGGGACAACCCTGGGGCCAGGCCTGGGTGCCCTGGGAGATGCAGGCCAACAGCCGCTGCACTGGCACCTTTTCCCTTTTTCCCTTTTATAGTGACGCCACTTGTAGTGAGAATTTCTAGAACCTTTTTTTCCATCAGCTACAGAAGAGCTCTTTTATTGAAAATAACATCAATCCGTTTCATCTTAAAAATGAAACAAACAATAGGAACCAGCCTTAGCTGCATCTGTGGCTCAGTTTTACTCCAGGGTAATCAAAATCATTTGTTTAAAACCACTAGAATTTCTCCAAGTAGTTCAAGCTATAAAGTAAAAAATTCAGGCCTTTAACTGATCACGGCATCTGACTCTAAATCTATTTGTCCTTTCATTACTATGAGAAACTTGTAGAGTTGGGTTTTATTCCCTCACAAAAGCTTTACTGAAATAGAGAAAATCATTAATTTGCCCATTTATTTGGCAATTTATCCCCAAAGAAAACTTTTGCCTAGATGCTCTACTAAGTTATCTGATTCATGTTTGAAGGCTACTTGTGACTATGTAGGTTAAGGTGATCAACTATTTTGATGAAAATGTGTTGAAAGTAACTGAAAATGCCAACAGTGAATATAAGAAATGTTTAATGGCTCTATTAGTATCAGAAAAAAGAAACTTGATGACAAGAAAATGCTGCCAGAGATGAGGAGGAACAATTCATAATCATTTGTAAACAGGTCAGTTAACTGGGAAGATGAGCAAGCCTAGGTGTGCAGGCCCCTAACAGGAGTAATGGAATTTCCAAACGCACAAAGCAGAAACTGAGACAAATCCACAGTCACATGTGAGGACTTTACACACTGCTCTCGGTGACGGACACGCCAACTAGACCTCGAATAACAACGATAATATAAAAGATCTCAAATACACTGCCATCTTGAACTGACTGGCATTTACAGAGCAGCCTGTAAATACAGATGCAAACATATTCTTTTCAAGTTCACCCTGGACATTAAACAAGACAGACCATATGGTAAGGCCCAATTCTCATTCAATTTAAAAAGACTAAAATCCTACATGATATGAAAAACATTAATACTTAGAAAATCCCTCAAATACATGAAAAATAACAATACATTTCTAAGTAAGATAGGGGACAAAGAAAAAATTAGAAATGTAATTAAATTATATTTCAAACTTAATGATAATAAAAACATCCTGAAATTAGAGGAAGCTAAAACAGCTTGTAAAGAAAAATTTATAGCTCCGATTACTTATTTTATGAAAGATGAAAGGTTTAAATTCAAGGACCTACATTTCTACCTTAGAAAATTAGAAAAATAAAATTAAAACCAGAGGAAGTAGAAGGAAGGATATAAAGATAGAATCAGGATATGATTAAATATGAAAACAGTGAAGAAAATTAAAAAGGCATTAGTTTTTTTTTAAATTTATAAAATTGATAAATGTCTGGAAGGACTTATAAAGAAAAAAGAAAAGACATTAATCAAACTAAGGTCAAGAATAACAGAAGGATTTTCACTATTCTCCAATCATTAAAAAGGTACTTTCTTACTTACGACCAATATATGGTAGTAATTTGAGAACTTATGATGAATAGATTTCTTGAGAAAATATACTGAGCAATACTGACAAAATCCCTATTAAAGGAATTGAATGATTAAAAACCTCATAAAAAATTCCATATCCATACAGTTTCACTAATGATTCTATTAAATAATAAAAGAAGAAAGTATGTCAAGTTTACACACAATCTTTCAAAAAATATAGGAGGGAGGATAGAACTTCACAGTTTTTCTGAGAAACACAGAAAGAGGAAACATCACTTGTTCTAAAATGTGATGTGTATACTGGTATAACTCTTGATATCAAAACTGATAGAAATTTGAGATTACAAAAAAAGAAAAACTAGAAACCAGTATGTAACAAACACAGATTCAAAAATCCTTAATGCAAAACTAGCAAGTCAAACCCAGCAACACCTAAGAATCATCACCACCACCATCAAGGAGCTTTTACAAGAATGCAGGATTAGTTTCACATTCAAAAATCAATCACTGTATTCAACATACTAACAGAATTAACTGCTTAAAAAAAATATGATCAACTTAACAGTTCCATAAAAAAATTTGAGAAAGTCAAACTGATTCATTATTTAAAAAACTTTTGTAAACAAAAACAAAACAAATGACAGAAGAGAACTTACTATGACAGTAACAAAATTCACAGGAAACATCACACTTGAGGACAAAACACTGAATGCTTTATCCCTAAGACAGAAACACAGGGATATGCACCCTTCTCATTTCAGGAATAAATAAATACAGAGAGGTTGGAGAGAAACAAGTAAGATTCTATTTACTAATATACAGCATGAATGCCTTCAGAAAACCCTAGGGAATCTTAAACAACTACTGCTAGAATTTATAAGTGAGCTTAGCAAGGTCTCAGAACACAAGGTCAATATGCAAAAATCTATTATATGCCTACACAAAATCAATTTAAGTTAGAATTTTTAAAAAGCAAAATAATTAAGAATAAATTAAAAAGCAGATGTGAAAGACTTCTACCTTGAAACTATAAAACATTTTCCAGGAAAATTAGAGAGCTAAATAAGTTGAGAGAGATGCTGTGTTTACGGATTGGAAGACAATATTATTAAGATTTTTAAAAGCTTAAAATCTCAAATTGACATATATACAATCCTAATCAAAATTCCAATCAACTTCATTGTAGAACTTGATAAATTCTAACTTTCATAAATTTTAAAAAACTAGAATAGCCAAAATAATCTTGAAAAAGAACAAATCTGGAAACATCAAACTGCTTAACTGCAACATTTAATATATAGGCAAAGCAATGAAGACAATAAGGTATTAGGATATAGACAAAAACATGAAATAAAATAGAAGCTGAGAACTAGACACATACTTTCCCAGTCAACTCATTTTTGAAAAAAACACCTTGGCTATTGGGGAAGTAAAGTCTTTTTAACAGAGTTCAGGAGCCATTAAATATATGGCAAAAATAAGCCCTGCCATCTATTTCAATCTTATACAAAAATTGAACTTAGTTGAGTCATAGTCTTAAATATAAATATAAAAATTAAAACTACAAGAAAACAGTACAAATTGGGTAACTGAAAAGATCAGAGAAGCCACAGAAAGCACTGAGCATTAGAGAAACACTGATAAATTAAGACTTCAGCAGAAGCGGGTCTGCTAAAAAAAGACATCACTGAGAAAATGGAGAGCAAAATCACAAACTGGAGGCAATGCTCACCGTCTGCGTGTGCGCGCGTGGGGCCCGCCAGCAGTGGCCATCGCCCTGGGAGCTCATGTGCACCGCCGCCCGGCCACCGGGGAGGCTCGGGCCCCAGTGGGAGGTCACCCCCGGCCCAGCAGGCGCCCCTGCGCACCTGCCCGACAGACCCAGACGGGGACCATGGCCTGTCGCTCCAGCCGCCCGGACCCGAAGGGCACACCGCGGAGCACTACTCGGCCGGGAACAGGAGTGGCCTGCCTGCACTCACCTTACACAGTGCGCACAGTGCGGCGGGCCCTTGGGCCGCACAAGGGCGGCGGGGAGCTGAGGGCTCCGGCGGGAGAGGCACGCCCACCACACGGCCAGACGATGCTTGGAGCACAACGCCTATGCACGCTTTTATGGAAGAAGTGGGAGGGGCCTGTTCTAAGCAGAAAGCCCATTGGGTGAAACTGGTCCCACTTGTCATGACCGCTCATTGGCTGAACTATAGCAGTCTGTAATTGGCTGGACTGTTGCTGAAGGCAGATATTCCCTCCTACTCAGTTGTAAAGGGGCCACAGCTGGCCAGGAGGTGTGGGCGTGGAGCTCCCCCCGCAGGCCTCCCCACACCACTACCAGGAGGCTTCCTTTCCTCAGTTTTCACGTGCTCACCATGGTGGGAGGGTCTCAAAACATTATTCTGAGTGAACAGTGAAGACTGACGTGAAAAACGTACATACTCTAAGATCCCATTTAAATTAACCAGTGGTGGAAAAATACTAACGCGTCATCCAGGAGATGGGAAAGGGGGCTAACTGGGAAGACGTGGGAAAGGCTTTCCCAAAGCGACCGTCATGCAGGGCCGAGTCCCACGGGTGCGCTGACCTGTCAGACCACCGGCGGCACGCAAAGTATTTTCCATTAAATTGAATGCAAATCTTACCTCGACAAAACAGTGGGTTCCTAGGTAATATGGGGTTTAAAAGGACCAGATTTACACTCCACTTGGTCAACTAGAAAGCAACGCAAAATATAAAACAATCTTCGAATACGGGGTGGAACGCAGCGCAGGGCGGTGATTCCCCAGAGAGGGAAGCAAGGTGGGTCCTACAAGGTGGCTTCTGGGCCCCATTGGAGGAGGTGGAACCCAAACAGAGCGAACGTCCCAGGGGGCTGGGGAGTCTGACTTCAGAATGTGGAGGCGACGGGGGAGAAGACCCAGGCCAGGAGAACCCCTGAGCGGGGCACATGCGCGGGGAGCCGCGGAGACCTGCTGGACGCTTCCCCCGAGCTTCTGGCTACTGCCGTTCGCCTGTGGGACAGTGGGCCTGCATCGTCATGGATCCGAGTTTTTCCTCTGAACAGTGAGTGACAAGGGCAAACCCTTGAAAGGAACATGAGTAAAGGTCAGACAAAAAAATAAACAAGCACGTGCACTCCCCTTTGCTGCCTGCAGCTGCTGATGTGGACAAAACACCCGAGAAGAAGCCAAGAAAAGGCGATCACTGGAAAGGCGACGCACGGGAAGCAGCCCTTCAGGGATGCAGGGTGAGAGCCGTCCAGGAAACCCAAGGCGAGTGACTGTCCCTTCTTTATCCTGTTCCAGTGGTTCTCACACTCGGACCTGCCTCGGATGCCCGGAGGGCTCAGCGAACAGACTCAGGGGCTCCACCACCGCCTTTTCCGATTACATCAGGACTTGGTGGATAACCGCATTTCTTACCTGCTGCCAGTCAATCCTGACGCTGCTGGTCTGAGGGCCACACAGAGAGAATCCCTGCCGTCCTCCAGGCCTGCAAACAGGATCACTGTCACAGGCTGGAATTGCTTTCTCCAAGCTGTGGTCCACCCCAAAACTGCATATGACTCTCAACCCTCGAACAAGAATAAAATGATAAAAAGCACTTTTATTTGTGGAAGTTTCACTGCTCATCTTACAATAACCCTATGAAGTCAGTATTTCTACTTTCCACTCCTCTCTACCAGATATTTTGTTTCTTTTCTAACAGATTAGGAACCTGGAATATGCAGTTATTTTAATTCTTAATGGTACAGCCCAAGCCTGGTATCAAAGCAACACATGCTCTTTCCCGTACATCATGCAGCCCCTACCCCACCCCCCGCTGGAATCCCTGAGTGCTGAGCCTCCCGTGGGGGCCTTGGCTGCTGAGCCCCACCTGCGAGGCCCCACCGAGTACTCTGTGACATGAACGTAAGTCCAACTTTGAACTTGAACAACATGTTAGACTCAACTACTGAGAATGGTGAGAGATTTTATCCCTTTCACAAAGCATTACTTATAAAAAAAACCTACCTTAAGCAGAGCTTTACCTCTCCCACCCTGGTAACTGCTAACAGCCAACATTTAGTGAGATTTCCAAGTGTCTTTTAGCAACTTGCAAATACATAACACAGTAATTTTAACCACAGTTGTAATATTCCTAGAATCAATTGTTTTCTTCATTAAAGATAAAACGTGTATTCTCATAGAATTTACCAAGGTAAACAGATTGAAGTAATACAAAAGTTTGCCACACACCAAAACAATACGCCATTAACCTTGTATTTTACCAACAAAGACCAAGCCTGTGGTCAGCCTTCTAAACCTTCTGCGTGGTGTCTGTCAGCTCGGTGACAGTCATTCAGTTCCACAGACATGTGAATGTACAGAACGCTCGAGGCCACACTGTGTTAGAATCTGACCACAGACGAATTAGATGTAGTCCTTGTTTTTAATGTTCATTATAATGGAGGAGGGTCAGAGGATAAGAACAGAAAAAAATGAAGCATAAGTCCATCTGATAAGAGATTTAATCAAAGTCAGAGCAAAGAATGATGCCGGGGAGACCACATGACCTCCAGGTTCCCCACCCGAAGCCCTGGGAGCCACCGTCCTGGGTCCCCAGGAGGAGGACGCCCGGTGTGTGCAGTGCTAGGTCTGCTGCATCTACTGCTGCTTTACAGGGTGTGCAGATAGCCCTCGGGGGTCCCAGACGCGGCCCTCGTGCTGTCTGTCCTCTGAAATCCGGTCGTAATTAAACTTTCATTATTAACGGCGAGTCATGCCAACAATCACAAGCACTCTGAGGTAAAATGTGCCGTTTGTGATGGGTGATGATAAGGGTGGAGAAAGACAAGCTGCTGAGACCACGTGGCATATTTACTGCGGGACATCAAGGGACAAGCGGATGGCTGTACGAGGATCTCCCTGAGAGTCCTCACACCTGTGAGTGGTTTTAGGAACAACAAGATGTCAGGAATTCTGGGCGCTGATGGCCCCCACTGCCGAGGGCACTTCAGCCCCTGAGCAGCATCACTGGCCGGGGCTGCTTGCCCGGCTGACCACGACTGTGGGACCCAGGCTGTTACATCATCGTGCAACGAAGCCCGAACTCATCCAGGAAGCTGGACAGGCAGAGGAGCTTGGAAAGGACATGAGAACCAGCCCACAAGCACGATCCCAGAGGGCCACCCCACTGACACTGCCCTGCACCTTCTCCACTCTCCTGGGCCTGTCTCAGTCCTGAGGTTTCTGCAAGCCTCCTGCACAGAAGTGCCACATGTGAATGAGCCCCTCACTGCAAGTGGGATTCTCCCATTACTGAGCACGCTGGCAGCCAGAATTCTGTGAACACTGGAGCTTTATCCATGATAGCCCCTCCTTAGACACTTACTTTATAAAATAAAGTGCTGAAAATTTATATATACAGTCAATATAGGTACAATAATGGGTTCTGTTTTGAGTAACTGATATTGATAACTTCCTATCCCTTTTTCTTTCTCTTCTTCTTCTTGTACCTGTATAGTGCGAATATTGTTCTGTTTGGATTGATTGAACAGTTCTCTGAATATTCTTTCATTTCTAGAGTTCCTTTTTTCTCTCTGCCTCAGCTTCTTTATATTTCTCTTCTCTAATTTCTATTCCATTTACCATCTACTGTACCTCATCTAATCTTTTAAATGCATCCATTTTATGTTTCATTTCAGATACTATATTTTTCAAAGTTTCTCTTTTTCTTGAAGTCCTCCCTGAGATCTTGAATATTTTTATATATCTCTGTGAACATTTTTATTTTGAAACTCTTTACCGATCAGATTGGGATTAAAGATGGTGGCGTGAGAGGAGAGACAGAGGCTTCCTCCTAAAACTGGATACAATCAGAAAATTTAATTGGCACAACTAATCCTGAGAGAGCAACAGGAAAGAGGACGCGTCAGACTGCACATGCCTGGAGAAAAGAGCAGACCTCAGCGAACAGGGTAAGGTACCAGACCTGTGGCTCCACGGGACCCGAGCCCCACCCCCGCCCCAGCTGACCGGCGGGGGGAAGACAAATGGAGCAGGGAGGGAGTGGAGGCCTGGGATGGCTGAATACCCAGCTCCGGAGATCTGCGTTGGGAGCACAAACCTACATTTCACGGTGCTTTCATGAGACTCGCATGACTACCGGGTTGGAAAGTTAATACTGGCAGAGTTCCTGGGGAGATGGGGATTCCGGCTGCTTGTGGAAAGCAGGGATCCATATCTGGCTGCTCTGGGAAAAAAACTTATACACAATAGGATATTATTCAGCCATAAGAAGAAAACAAATCCTACCATTCACAACAACATGGATGGAGCTAGAGGGTATTATGCTCAGTAAAATAAACCAAGCAGAGAAAGACAAATACCAAATGATTTCACTCATCTTTGGAGTATAAGAACAAAAGAAAAACTGAAGGAATAAAACAGCAGCAGAATCACAGAACCCAAGAATGGACTAACAGTTACCAAAGGGAAAGGGACTGGGAAGGATGGGTGGGAAGGGAGGGACAAAGGTGAGGGGGGAAAGAAAGGGGGCATTATGATTAGCATGTATAATGTGGGGGGTGGAGGAAAGGGGAGGGCTTTGCAACATAGAGAAGACAAGTAGTGATTCTACAACATCTTACTATGCTGATGGACAGTGACTGTAATGGGGTTTGTGGGGGGGACTTGGGGTAGGGGAGAGCCTAGTAAATATAATGTTCTTCAAAAAAATAAAAATAAAAATAAACAAAAAAACCCACAAAACAAACAAAAAATCTTTACCAAGAAAATTGGTGATTTCAGCTTCACTTGGCTCTCTTTCTGATGTTTGTGTGACTTGGGTTTATACCATGTTCTCTTGCCATTTCATAGTCCTAATAATTACTATGGAATAATGATTTTGTTTAGACAGTGCCCTCTAGTGCCCAGAAGCTCTACTCTCTGTAGCTGCTCAGCACCTGGAATGATGGCAGTGGTTGTAGGACAGCAGTGCAGGGGCTGCTGGGAGGAAAGAGCTCTTTCCTCCTTCCTGGCCACAATGCCTGCCTCCACTGCCAGGGCCCGAATAGGCAAAGCAATTCTTAGAAGGAAGAATAAAGCTGGGGAATTATGCTCTCTGACTTGAGGCTCTACTACAAAGCCACAGTAATCAAGACAATTTGGTACTGGCACGAGAACAGATGCATAGATCAATGGAACAGAATAGAGAGCCCAGATATAAACCCACACATATATGGCCAACTAATATATGATAAAGAAGCTATGGATATACAATGGGGAAACAACAGCCTCTTCCACAGCTGGTATTGGCAAAAACTGGACAGCTACATGTAAGAGAATGAAACTGGATTGTCTAACTCCGTACAGAAAAGTAAACTTGAAACAGATTAAAGACCTGAATGTAAGTCATGAAACCATAAAACTCTTAGAAGAAAACACAGGCAAAAAAATGTCTTGAATATAAACATGAGCAACTTTTTCCTGAACACATCTCCTTGGACAAGGGAAACAAAAGTAAATATGAGCAAATGGGACTACACCAGACTAAAAAGCTTCTATACAGCAAAGGACACCATCAGTAGAAGAAAAAGGCTTCCTACAGTATGGGACAATGTATTTGTAAATAACATTTCCAACAAGGGGTTAACATCCAAAATATATAAAGAACTCACACTCCTCAACACCCAAAAAGCAAATAACCTGATTTAAAAAAGGGCAGAGGATCTGAACAGATAACTCTCTAAAGAAAAAATTCACACGGCCAACAGACACATGAAAAGATGCTCCACATCGCTAATCATCAGGGAAATGCAAATTAAAACCACAGTGAGAGATCACCTCACACCAGTTAGGATGGCCACCATCCAAAGACAAGAAACAACAAGTGCTGGCGAGGATGTGGAGAAAGGGGAACCCTTCTACACTGCTGGTGGGAATGTAAGCTAGTTCAATAGTTGTGGAAAGCTATATGGAGGTTCCTCAAAAAACTAAAAATAGAAATAAATACCATTTGACCCAGGAATTCCACTCCTACGAATTTACTTGAAGAAAACAAGATCTCAGGTTCAAAAAGACATATGCACCCCTATGTTTATCGCAGCACTATTTACAATAGCCAAGAAATGGAAGCAATCTAAGTGTCCATCAGTAGATGAATGGATAAAGAAGATGTGGTACATATACACAATGGAACATTATTCAGCCATAAGAAGAAAACAAATCCTACCATTTGCAACAACATGGATGGAGCTGGAGGGTACTATGCTCACGGAAATAAGTCAGGTGGAGAAAGACAAGTACCAAATGACTTCACTCATTTGCGGAGTATAACAATGAAGCAAAATTGAAGGAACAAAACAGCAGCAGAATCACAGACTCCAAGAAGGGACTTAGCGGTTACCAAAGGGGAGGGATGGAGAAGATGGGAGGGAATGGAGGGAGAATGAGATTGAGGGGCATTATGATTAACACACAGAATGTAGGGGGGTCATGGGGAAGGCAGTCCAGCACAGAGAAGACAAGCAGTGACTCTGTGGCATCTTCCTA